GGGAAAACCCTGAGGTTTTCTGTTGCCGTGTGGTTACAGGATAGGCCAGTTTTCACTATTAAGCTTACAATGTTAAGGTCTTTATTCAGAAGTGTCTGTGTATGTACAAGGTAGATTTCTGGGTCCACAGTGAAATGTCTGGGTTCCTTCTACTGGCCGAGGTGGCTTTATGCCAGACATGTTCCTAATTCCTTGGTTGGACCTGGGTAGGAAAGGACTATCAGGAATCTCTTCTGTATTACGTTAGGCAGCATTCCCTCCCACATTAGCCCTGAAATCTCAAATATTGAAAGGAGAGCCATTGGTCTCCACTTAATGACATTCCCAGTTGTGCAACAAACCTTTTGAGAAGGGAGCATGCTGCATAGATCAAGGAGAGGAAGTCATGACTGTTCAACAGATTTACTGGAAAACAAGTGATTTGAAAGGCTGAGGGAGGGCGAGCTGGGAAGCATTAGTAAGTAGTGCTTAATGAGGTACTCAGGTATGCCTCACAAGATGATCTCTGGGATGTTTGGCATGTGAGCCTGTTATCTCCATCCCACACTCTCTCACACACACTGAATGCAGATCTTGTTGTCCAAGATTTGCACTGTGACTGTATGAAGACCATTTTACCCGCTGTTAGCGAAGCCAGGATCGCTGTATGCAAGTTATGCAAAATGACCTTCATGCCATCTCCTGCTATCACAGGTTCCGTGTCAGCCACACATTTTGGAAATGTTGTAGACTTTCAGCATTATTATGGGGATAGTTTCTTGTTTTTATTTTGAAGATCAGGTGAGCAGTAAAGCCTGACACCTTGTTCAGTGCGGTTGTGCTCAGGGGATCGGCATATCTGAAGGGGTTGTGATAGAAATGGGTCAGTGAGCAGAGAACAAGCAAAGGGGCATGGCAGGGAGTTTATGTCGTGGCTTTGCACCACTACGTGAACACTATCTCAGGCAGTATTATGTGCAGTAGCTTGAAACTATTCTGACTGAAGTTGGAAGCTTTGCCACTGATTTCAAGGAACAAATTAAAAATTTTTAAATGAAAGGGAAATATTAATTTCTTCTCATTAGCATTCAGGTGGTATGAGGTACAAATGTTTGCTTGTCTCTTCACTTTTGGATGTATTTCTTCTGAAGATGATAATATCATTTTTATAAATAAAATGAGCAGGTTTTGCTTCCTGCACAATTTGACCCTTTCAAATAACTCTGCAAGAGTCAAGCCGTAAAATGAAAACTGTTTTTCCTTTCACATTCAGTGGGGTTTTGTAAGGTCTTTATCTTGTGTTTAAAATGACACATCATTTTAGAAGAGCAACATCTGGTGCAAAGCAACTGCCAACTTAATATATCTTTAATATTTTTGCATACAAATGATAAAATATTTTAAAAAGAAAAAACATACCAGGAATACTTCATATATTTCTTTTACCTAAAATTGAATTTTCAGTATGTGAAAAATTTCTGTAGAGCTTCAATGATAATGTGGGAAATGGTGTATAACGTTGTTATTTTTGAAAGCCAGCAGCTTTATTGCACGTTTTTGTTGTGAAATATTGAAAGTAGAAGAAGAATCCTCTTCATTCATATTTGCAAATGACCTGATGAAATTTAAAATCAAAGCACTTAGAATATATAAGTGAGGTATAAATTTATTCCTCTTCACTTTTTCCAGAGCAATAGTTTGAATCAGACAAACCAATAATACTGGTTTTTGTCATGCAGCCTTAGCAGGGCTTTCTCAAGTTACCAAATCAAACTAAACATTCCTAAGATACACACTTATCTTTATGTTCAAAGACAGCTACTTTCCTTCAATTATTTGTAGCAGTATGACTTTCCCTTTGGTGGTAGCGTTCCATAGGAAACATTGGACAATTCTAGCATCTTTAGTGAGAAGCTCCAAACCCACGTTCAGGCAGGCTCTGTACTGTCCGCTCGGGGAAAGGAGCAGCCTGGCTTGCAGTCACCCCCAGTATCTCCCAGGCTCTGCAAGTCAGTGCAATCTGCAGGATTCAGAATTTTTTTAAATCAGACGGTATTTCTTTAGGTGCCCCAAGCTGCAGAATATTGAACCAGAACCGATGATTTCAGGCTATTGGTGTGTATTTGTAGCCCGTGCTGGAGAGTTTCTGTAGACCAAGCTAGACTGCAGTTTGTCTTGTCAGATCAGCCCTAAATGCCTAAATACACCTTCAGGAGCCCAATTTAAGAACCAAAGTTTGTAAATGTTGGATCAGTCTTGTAGCTGTTCCCCAGCTCTGCTTATGTTCCCTGCCACTGTTGGAACTAAACTAAAGCTCTGAATCCAAATATTTCCAGCTTTGAAATGTGTGCACATAGACTGGGATATACTTCTGTCAGTAACATGCCATCTTCTTGATGCATAGGGGAATAGAGTAACTTCAGGCATTTGTTTTAAATATATTTACCTTAGGAAAAAACAGGCAGAAATTGCACAGGGAGCACATTTTCCTTATTTAAGTTCAAAAATAAATATAGCTGTAACCTAAATGTGTATTTATCAGCACTGATGCCCTTTGGCCTTAGTCCAGTGGGCTGTTCTCTCTGACATCAATGGGCAAAAGATGGGCTCTGCGTATGAAATCTGTGAATGTTTTTTTCTTCTTCATCCATCCATCTATTTTGGGATGTGCTAAATGCTTGTTCTCTGTTGTAACATTAACATCAGTATGTGGAAACTTGGGTTGCTAAAATAAATCAGTGAAATGCAATATACATGACTTCACATAGAACTGCATGTACATTGTTGGACATAAGTGCCCCGTGTCACTGTGCCATGCCAGCTTTACAGCCAGGTAAAACCTATTGTGTCCTGCAGAAGTGCAGTGCTGTAGTGAAGCAGGCATGAACTTTGTGCTGCCAGTATGTATAGAGTCTCTGTAGTTCCTCAACTGGCAAAATATTTCTTAGTTCCCATTTACATGACAGCAAAATTAATACTTCTACCAGCCTCAGAGTACAGGGATGGCAAGGTCTACAGTATCTCACAAAAGCATCTTTTGATCTTTTGCATTGTGGGCCTGATGGAGTGTTTGCTGGAGGCAATGAAAAGTTTATTGTTGATGTGCGAGGCATTGATTTGTGAGGCTCTTACTGTCTCTCTTTAGTTTTAGTAAGTTAGTGATACAGGCTTCAAACTAACCTGGGGCATTTTTCTGACCTTAGTAGAAACCCTCCTGATTCATGTGAGTATGAATTAGCACATTCTCAAGTGCTAATTTGATCAGTTCATTTAATTTTAATTTTTTTAAAGTTCATTTAATTTTTATTTTTAATGGAAAGCTCAACATTTATGGGCTGGCCTGTTTTCTGCCCACAGTGAAATCAGTGGGAGACCTTTACAAAATTGTACTTTGATGAAGGTGTTGAGGGGCCAGTCCTGCCTCCGAGTCCCCTCCAATCTGTGGGAGCCTGGCCTGCTCCGCAGAGCGGTCCTGTACCTCGATGCCGATTTATCATCCACCATGGTCACAAGCGGATGGATGAGGAAGGAATCCCTGTGGCCCTGGCCCTCTGGTTTCGGATAAGACAGCAAGCTCAGAGCAGCCTCTGCCTCAGGAAGGAGAAGCAAGTGTATCGCTCTGCTCCACACAAGGCTGCTCGCTCCTTTCCATGGAGCATTGATCTTCACAGCCCCCATGACTAAAGGAGTGGGAGACATTCCCATGGAATTAGCTGTTCCATCTTTCTTTTACCTCTTAAGCAGGAAAGAGCTGCACAAATTCCCTCTTTAATAGTCATCCAAGAGAGAATACAATGACTGATCTGTCATCAAAGTATTTCGAGCTGATGACGATATCTGGGTGCCTTTTAGGGGTGGGTTGGTTTTATTGTGATGTTTAAACAAAATCCCTAAATCACAGGGATATGACAAGAAATGGGTTGTTTCACATTGGCTGTAGCTGCTGGTTATTCTTGTCCAAATGTACAGCAGTGCCCTGATGGTTACTTACCAATGACGGCCTGCTCAGGGCTTAACACTTTTCAGTTTCATGGCAAGCTTGCAAGGTTACACGTATATACTGAATGAAACATAGCCCACTGGTTATTTTTAGAGAGGCTCTAAACAAGAAGTAAATCCGTGGAGTAGTGCTGCCAGAGATGCGTAAAGTTCAAGCCCAAATTAAAACTGCCTATCTTTGGCCTAAATTCCAACCTGAACTTGAGGAAAACTGTAATCTCTACCTTTAACTTTATGACAAAAAATCCATTGCAATTATTTTCTAACACCTGAGAATATATGAACATGGTACAAACACTTGAAAATTAGAACTTGAATGAAAAAAATCTGTTCAAGAATGTAGTACCCAGTCTTGCAAGATAATGTTGAATGACTTTAAGTTATGGTAGCATTGGAATTTGAAGTCTAGTTTATTGTGATTCCTAGTTCTAACACATCTTTGTAAGAGCAAGTCCTATAATGTAATTGTAAACTTTGGGGAGAGGAAGAGAAACATGCTTATTTACCTTACAGATCTCTTCAATGTGCAAGACTTAGTTTAAAAATCACCAAGATACAATATGAAGGAAGTAGACCCCTTTTCAGCAATATATTTATGCAAAGTAGTTGAAAATAGTGCAACTGAAGCATGTTCTTGATTTCTTTGCTGAATCAGAGCCTGTATCTTCTTCCTGCCAAGACAGCGATCTTAATACCACTCCTAAATGCACTAGTAATTCTAGAAGCCCTAATGAAAGTCAAGATAACGCCACAGATTTTATAAATAAGGGTCTTTATTTAGAATACTGTTGAAAACATTCTTGGCAACCACATCATATAAATATATAAAGTTTGACACAACAAACCAAGCAATATTAAATATTTTTTTAAATTTCCCCCTTTTTGGTTTTTTTTTTTAATTTTTGCTCTTCTTTTTTTCTTTCTTTTTTTCCCTTTTTTCTCTCTCTTTTTTTTTTTTTTTTGCAAAGCAACTCTTATTTACAGTTATACAAAAAAAGTTTTATAAAAAATGGTCCACAACCTTATTTTGGCCAGAACAGGAGTAATAGGAAGGATCTGTCATGCCACTACTGTTGTAGATTTCTGTTCTCCTCCACATTCAATAGCCAGGTCTCCTATTCCCCAAAGCCCAGATTAAACATCGGCCATTTCATGGTATACAATTTTATCTCTAGACATATTAAATAACTTTAGTTTAACAACCAATAAATAATTAGGTTTAATTTGAAGTAATACAGGCTTGAAAAGTTATATATTTGAAGGAATTTTGAGTGATATTTTAAAACTGGGACAAGTCTTAAGAATTCTTTTCAGTCTTAGAAGGCAGGTCTTGGAGCATGGCTGAATGGAGCAATTTGTTTTCAGTACAGTCCAGCTGGACCTGTCTTTATAGTACTTGGTAGATAGGGTTGCTGCTGCTGCTGCTGTTATCCTGGGGAAGTGGGGTGCAGTTAGTGGGGGAAGGAATTTGGGCTCCGCTATCACTCAGATGCGCTCCTTCTGGGGGAGAACAGGGACTCCCTTCAGCAACAGTTTCCACTGGAGGCAGTATAGGACATGTGGAGTTATCTGTGGAAATCCTCTCTACAATGCTTGAGAGGCAATCGAGGCTGGAAACAACAGAACTCTTCCCATGCTTTGGATCTAGAAAACAGACAAAAAGGTGCTCAGTTTATCCAATGGGCACTTAACGTCAGTAGGGTGTAGTTCTTTGCTAAAACCCCAGCAAGTGGAGGAAATGAATATTGGTGAAGGACGCCAATTATCAGCGTCCTAGAAGAAAAAACTAGCATCCTAGAAGAAAAAACTTCTAGTCCAGTTTTTTCGCTGGACTAGAAAACAGCGATTGTAATTGCAAAATGAGAGAGAGACCCAACCAAAGTATGCTGCTTCTGGGGCAGGGTGGATCAAGGGCTTCACCTCAGTCCATAGAAAGGGAAGGGAAGATTTGAAATCAGTCAGCAATTTCTCCAGTTTGCATCAATGATAGATAAAGTTAGAAGAGTCTTCATGCAAAACATGGCTAAACACTGAAAATTAGTTGCAGGGAGGAATATATTTTTATCCAGATGTTGTATTTGCAAAATAGGAAATGCAGCTATAAACATTTTCCTGTATTTGCAAATATATCTAGAGGAAATCCAGTGCTTCTACTAGCATCAACAGCTCGCTGGCTGAAAAGGCAGGTTACTCTTTCAGCCCAGCTGGGGTCAGCTAAACACCTGGAGACAGAGAAGGCACGGGGAAGTTTGCTGATTGACTGCCTCTGTCTCCATGTTTCACACAGCCGTTACGGCACATACTCACCATTTGGTGATTCTGTGTAGTAGCTACTGTCATAGCTGTTTCTTCTGCGAGAGCTGCAAGGAGGCCCGCTGTACTCCATCTGGAAGGGAGAGCAAACTGAGTGAGGTCACTGGTTGGGGACAACATTTCCTGAAATCCCAGTAACCATCCGATTTCATCTTTCAGTCCCTAGTCTGTGCCGTCATTCCAGACCTGGCTGAAATGCTATCAAGTTGTAGTTTCTTTGAATGAGGCAGAACTTAACTTGGCTAGAAGGGGAGTCACCCCAGAATGTTTTATGTGGCACAGCTGTTCCAAAGGAAAATTACCACTGTTGTTGCATCAAATGCTGTAGCTTTACAAATGAGATGAAGTTTTCCAGCATTCTGATCAAATACTGCCCTACACATATCTTCAATTTACAACAGGGAGACCAAAAGAGGAATGAGTCTTTTTTTGATTTAATTTTGGAAGGTTTTTCCAAACATGAGTTCCTCTTAAAAAGCCTCTATCTACCTTTGTTCCTTTTTGTTTCCTTTAGTTTCTTTTCCCATTTCCTTTTTTTTTTTTTTTTTACAGAAAAAGCCCCAAAACATTGACCAATATATTTGTTTCCAAAACTTTAATCCACAATGAAATTACTCATTCTGACAAAAGAAAAAGGCTGTATTTTGGGGAGGGATCATTTGTGTAAATCTTCTCTCCAATCTGCCATCTATTTTATATTTGCAGATTTTCAACTCAGTAATGATTATCTCTACCAGAGCACAGAAAAAAATCTCAGGTCTGAAAGTGCTGTCGATATCCCGTCCCAGACAGCTCTCCTGCACTCGTTACCACGTCTCACCACCCCAGAGTCAGACCAGAGTCCCAGTGAAAAGAGAAGGCAATGAGACACCGTCTCTGGCACCCACCCTTCTCCACTCCCCATAACGCACAAACAGGACTGAAAGCCTGGGGTCTCCTTCCTATTGCTGGTAGATATCTACAGAGGGGATGAAGTGAGAGGAGAAATGGAGAACCTTTTTCTTCAGAGTCAAGAAAAACAACTGTTGTTTAGACGATCCTCCTGTTACCGTGACGAATGGCAGAAAACAAACCTCTGACTCTTACCAGTTCCCCTGTAACTACCATGACCAAGGGAGACCTTACTCTCGGCTGTTCTTAGAGGATTCAAAGGTAATGACACAGCAGAAGATGGAAGCAGAGATGCCCCAGGAGCTAAGAGACCACAGGCAGGGCTCAGACCTCACCATGCCCGTAGGCAGCTTCCCAAAGTGCTCCCCCAGCAGCTCTTCCCTGGCACCCCCAGGACACAGGGGAACCCGCCTAACTTCTCATCCCAGGGAAAAAAGTACGTAGGAGATTTTTCTTCTTTCCCACAGATGGTGGCATGCGGGGACCCCACCTCCCTTTGCTGCTGGAGCTCAAGGCAAAAGGACTCTCTCTTCTGACTGGGGAGGTGCGGAAGGCAGCTGCTATAGGAAAGGCAGGAGGAGGTGACTCGCCCTGCACGGGTTTGGACCAACAGTGTCCGGGGCACCTCGGTGGCAGGGTGTCCTCCCTGGGGCACTCACCATGCCGTCAGAGCAGTTGGAGCGGGGGCTGGAGGCATCCGATTCCCCACTGTAGTGCTCCAGCACCGGGTAATAAGCGTCCTCCTGCTCCCGCAGCAGCGCCTGCAGGCTCTCGATGTAGCGGATGGCGTTGCGCAGGATCTCCACCTTGGGCAGGCGCTGGTTGGGGTTGGTGGAGGTGCAGCGCTTGAGGGTCTCAAAGGCTTCATTGACCTTGCTGAGCCG